CCCACCCTCCTGCGGTCCTTGCCTTAGACAAAATACGAGATAAAAACTCACTTCGCAACAACATCTCCCTCTCGACGGGATCCAAACCCCTGACCCTTGGTGCTAGATTGCTGTGAGCATACGAACTACACTTGAACGTGAACGTAACCTCAACAAAATGCGTTCCTGCGGGCTAACAGAAAACGGTATGCATTCAGACCTCACCTCCACGTCCGTGTCCTTGAAGTCCTTCCATAGCTTAAAGTATACCGACCGCTTGTTACCCGTCTCCTTATTGTCGAGCTCCGTCCTAGACAACTGCGTCCTGCTCGCGGCAAGGCGCTCCCTGAAGCGCTCGGCGACCATCAGCTCCACCGCCCGGGGAACGCAATGCTTGCTCTTCCTTCGGCCGGCGGTGGTGGCGCCGGCCCCTGACGCGCGGTCTTCATCCACGATCACCTCCAAAACGCGACTGGCGAGGTAGGCATTCTCGTCCCAGTCCATCATTTTCTTCGGGTGAATGCTCGCCCCACTGCGAATGGCGGCACGGACAGCCAAAACCAGAGACTCCGGAACCTCGACGGTCTCTGGTGACGCCGTTAGGGCCTTGGAGGCCGGGGTCTCACCTTGAAGCACGCAGGTTGACAACCATGGGTGGAGCAGAGAGGTGTCATGAAATAAAACGGTTAGGGTTGAAGCTTTCGTGCACATGGCAGTGGTGCCGATGCAGCCGTGGGGACATGCACCAAAATAGCGCGCAGTGTACCACCTACATAGGCTTTTGAACTACGTGACCCCAAGGAACGTAGCGTGGAGAGCTGCTGTTTTGGATAGAACGACGCACCCCTTTCGCCGCAGTGTAGGTTACAGCAGAAAATATACTTAAAACATCATATTGGCGTAGTACTCTTTACATCACACGAACAGATACTCGAAGAGTGCATGATTCAGCACCAGGCGTCAAGACATGCTCGTTCGGCGCATGCTCGTTCCATGCAAACACCTGCCTAACACAACCAACGTTCTTTCGGCGGTGTGGGGTATTGTTTGGGGTTGGGTGTGCTGGGAGTTGTAACAAACTTGGTTTCGGAGTGTTGGGACTTAACTAGACGTACAGATACAGCTGTGAGAGAGATTGTGTGGTTGTGTGTGTATGTGTGAGAGAGAGCGAGAGAGAGAGAGAGACAGACAGAGAGAGAGATTGTACAGAGAGAGGTAGATGGACAGTGGGATGACAGAGGGGAAAGTCAAACACACAGAAGGGTTCCCACCTGTTACTTTGTCCTCGAGATCAGCGCAGGAGGGGCTTGGACGCCCACACACCTTGTCGACATCGGCTAGGGCCTTCGCCAACACTATGCTACTCCTCTCCTTCGAAAGGCCGGAGGTACTTCGCGTCTGGATAGCGACCTGTAGGAGGCTGACAGGCCTTGCTGAGGGCGGCTTGTCGTGGTTGCGTTTGAGGGACCTCTGGATCGCGGATGACGCCGCCGACTGCTGCGGTGTTGGGGATGGAGATTTCGCCCTCGACGGCGTCTTACCCTTGTCCATCACAACAGGGAGTACCGGTACATCAAGCGCCGTGCGCGCCGAGCTTCCGGTTGCCGCGCCGTTGCTGCTGGAAGGGTGTTTCGCGTCGAAGGAGTCGTCACTACTGCTGTCGCCACCGGCACCATCATCGCCGTCGACATCAACGCCGCCGGCACCAATGCCGCCGACACCCTCGTCCCCCATGATATCAAGCAGGGTTGCCGACATCTTCGGAGGACCTGAAGGCCTTGCCCCTGTGGCGGCCCTCGCCGTCGAGGGAGATGGATCAGGGGTGTGTAGCGCCGACGATGCGCCAGAGAAGCCTGGGAGCATTCCGCGCCCGCTCGAACCTTCGCCGGCAGCAGCGCCGAAGCGGCCCTGCTCTCTGTATCTGGCTGGAGTAGCAGCAACCCGGCGACCAGTAGCCCGTCCCTTTGTGCTGTCTGCCATGGTGTCTTTGGTGTGGAGGTGTTGACGGCGAAGGTGGTATGTGTGTGTGTGTGGGTCGTGCTTGTTGCTTGTTGGAACCAGACAAGTGGCGAGATTAATTTGGAAAATTTGGAAGACCGGCTGGTGCACGTATAAAATGAGCCGTTCGGTTCCAAATATTTGGCGCCAAAAATTTGGAAATTTGGAACAAAAATTTGGAATGTATAAAACGGCCCTTAGTTGTGTGTTCCGTGAAGAACACAGAGCCGTCTCACAACCCTAGTCGGGAGGTGTATTGGGCCGGTACTCTGGCGAGTTTAACGATGGCATGCGTCCTTTGACGCTGGCGATTGCAAATACACCCCCTATGACACTGGTACATATTTCCTGACCGACACGCGCTCGTCCTTTGAACATTTTCTGCGCGTCGCTCCGAAACCCCACAGCACTGCGATCGCCAATCAACGGCGCCATAGCTGTAGAAGTCCGCGTTGCCGTGGCGTTGAGGATCCTGGCTGGCGCTAGTTACTGGGATGTTGCCCTCATGTTTGGCTTGTCGGTGCCGACCACGTACCAGATCTTGTGGTCGGTGATCGACGCCATCAACAAGACGCCTGCGGTTGGGGCATTCGACTTCCCCCTGACCGAGGAAGGCTGCATGCGAAATGCCAACAGATTCAAGGTGAGGCCTAACGATGATCATTACTGCTGCTGTGGGTTATTTTTGGCGGCATTCCCTTGACCAGCCGCGGGATGTCGTTTTTTTTTAGTACGTCTGGCGTTTCCAGCCGTTTTGGTGTAGGGAGGCCTATACACAGCCTTCGACGGTAACGCAGGAAAAAAAATGTCGTCCCCGGCGGATACAAGTTCGGATTGTCATCGTGGTCAGCATGCCTTCAATCGAAAAACAACCCCCGGGTCCAGGGTGGTTCTCCAGCTGTTGGTCTTTGTAAAAATGGCCTTTTTACAAATAAATGTTTTTTTTTGTGTCATCATTAGTGTATGCTGGCCGTGTTGGTTCCGCCCCGCAACAGTGGCCCAGCAACTGCTTTTAGTCAACCACGTGGCTCTGAGATACCCTGGTACATTTTTACCGCTGAACCTGACGCAATATTAGGATTAGCAAACACGGTATGTGCACCGTTGCTGGTGATGGCGCCGTCGCACACGACGTCAACCCACACAACGTACAGCCGAACGCAATTTACCGAAGTTCGTCAACGTCCATCTCTCGACTATTTTTTTTCCCCTTCCCGGCACTGCTACTTTCCCGCCCTCGTGTCTGCCGTCTACAAATGCAGGAGAAGAGCACCGATGGCATTTTCTCCTGGGTCGTCGCCGCCGTGGATGGTCTGTTCATCAAGGCCAAGGGTTCGTGTGCGAAGGACACCGCCAACGTCATCGCGAACTACTCCGGCAGCAAGTCCGCGTACGGCATCAACGTACAAGCGATGTGCACCGCCGACTACCGGTTCTGCGCAATGTCGGCGATCTCTCCAGGCTCCACGAACGACTGGGTGGCATGGAATCGATCTTCCCTCGCCAAGGCCGTCGCCCGCTTGCCCGCCGGATTTCACATCATTGGTGACGCCGCCTATCCCATCGGAGAATAGCTTCTGACGCCGTACCTTGTGAGGCTCCTGCCGCCGGGTGAGGACTCGTGCAACTTCCACCTGAGCCAGCTTCGTGTCAAGATCGAGGAGGGCTTCGGCATCCTGGTTTCGATTCGGGGCATTCTGTGGCGACCTCTCCGTGTGCAGTTCGGAGGACGCGCGGATCTCATCACGGCTCTTTTTCATCT